GTTGGTACCGAACGCTCGGTAAAGGAATCACACAAGTACCGGTACCAACAATTACCTAGTTAAACAATAGAATTGATTACATTACTTTATGTATGACACATATCGAAATTGTCCCAAACTCTCTCTTTCCCTCTTATTTCTATATATACATTGAATTTTCACATTGCGATCCAAACGAGTTCTACTCTTCTGAATTTTTTAATTTAGATTAAGCAAGAATGTGAGTCCAATGAACGATTGAACAATATGCAAATATCGTTAGATGAATTACAAACTGAATTGTATGATAGTCAAAAACAACATCAATTGATAGTTGAGAAACATGAAATAGATTTAAATGAGAATGTTGTCAAAACTCAGCAATATCTCGATCAAATTCAAACAATTAATAACGAACTTGATCAATTGAAAGAAGAAAATATAGATTATAAAACAAAACAGATACCAATTTATGAAGAACAATTACAAATGAAACAAAATACAATTATTGATCTTGAAAAAAACATAGGCGATATAAATGAACAATTACAAATAAAACAAAATACAATTAGTGACTTTGAGAAAAATATAGGCGATATAAATGAACAATTAGAAATAAAACAAAATATAATTATTGATCTTGAGAAAAATATAGGCGATATGAATGAACAATTAAATAATAAACAAACTCTTATTGATTTAGAATCTACACGAATGAAAACAAAGGTGAATAAAATAAAATCATTTGTCATTCTCAATTCTATTCGAAGCACTTTAAAAATCGACTCCTGTTAATAAATAAGAAGAATAAAGGAATTGGATAAGTTTTATTTATTTACATCCTTATTAGATCCTATTTCTTGTTCTAAATTTTTTTCGAAAAATATACCTTCCCTCTCGATATATAGGAAAATGGTGAAAAATCTTAGAAAGATCTCAACTTTTTTCATAGAATTTTCATCATTTTTTTGAATATTTTGAGAAGAATAGTATATTTTCGAAAAACATTTAGAACCTGAGCTAGGATCTAAAGCATCAGTGATAAAATTTTTAACTCCCGTTGGTTCTATCCTTGCTTACAGGATGAAAAAGAGGAAGAGAGAGTTTGGGACAATTTCGATATGTGTCATACATAAAGTAATGTAATCAATTCTATTGTTTAACTAGGTAATTGTTGGTACCGGTACTTGTGTGATTCCTTTACCGAGCGTTCGGTACCAAC